GCCCAGAGGCGGCCGTCGCCCTTAGCCGGGAGCGGAGGGCCCGACGGCTCGGGCGGGGGCAGTAAGCGGCGTCCGCGGCCCGGCCGCAGGGCAGCGAACGGAGCCGTCGTCTTGGGAGGTTGCAGAGGCTGGATTTACTGGAAGATAAAACGAGCTTTGTGATCGCTGGAAGGTCACAAAGCAAAGAGGAGCTTGGTTGGTTATGCCGCCTCGGGAGGTGCTTGCTAGGGGGTTGCCTCCTTGGTGTGTTTTGAGGGGGGAGTGGGAGAGAGCGCTGGGTGGGCCCATCCGTGTGCCTGGTTCGCATTGCACTGCTTAAGGCATCTTCGTTTGGTCCTGTTAGCTGCATGGGACGCGCTACCCTCACAGCGGGTTTTGATTCCGCTTTTAAGGAACGTTTGTTTTGAATTCTATTAGTCCTGTTCATCTCACGTAGGCCTCTCGGCCTGTTATATTTTAGAAGCAATATGATACGTCTAAAGCAGTCCACATTTCCTTGAGACAGATCACGCAAATCACTTTTCTCTCCATTTCTTATTTACAGTAATTTCTGACTTGTTGCTTTTGAATGGTGTTGCTTCTTACCCTCTGACACTGTGTAACAAGATGTCACATACAAAAGCTCTGTTCATGCAGAGTCTGATTCTGGTACATCAAAGATCAGTGAAATAAAATGTCTTATGTTAATTCTTTATTCACATTCCAGTATTATGTATCTGTGCGTGTGTGTACACATCTGTATAAAAAATGCATGTACATATATACATAACACACATTTCTACAGTTTCCTGTAGAGACTGAGTTGAACTCTTTAAAGTTGGTAAGAGCTTTCTACTGTAGAACAATTTAAATACCAAACCATTTTTAGGGCACTTTTGGGATTAGTTTTCTTCCTAGAAATTAAAAATACTATCTAAGGGTTTCATAGGATTCCTGGTAAAACTTTTGAAGGTGTTTTCCACGGAACACTGCAGGTTCCTCCCTGTAGGATATGGTACACACATAACTTCAGTGAAAATTACCATCTAGTCACTGCCTTTCTGACAGTATTACAATCAAGACTATAAATATAGAAAGTCTGATCACAGATGATGTTTTCAAACTGAAAATAACTGATTCACTAACTTGTTGCTTGATTTTAGGCGCCTGTCTATTGCAGGGACAGTAAATGTTATATCAGCATAATATTAAGCTACAAAAGGAAAAATCATGAAAATACAAAATAAACTGATAAAATTCATTATTAAATTGCATGTTTGTAACTAATGGCTCCTTTGTACGGCTGGTGAGGAGTGTCAGTTTTACTTCTTCTTTACAAGGAGTAACAACCACTTCTGATTATTGCGTGTTCCAGATGTTAGATTTTAAAAAGACTAGTACTATATTCCATGCAGTGGCTCTAGTAGCCTACACTTCGGACCAACTGTCCCTGGCAGCCTCAGAAGAGAGAAACTGAAATCTGACTCTACTCAGTTCCTTACTAGCACTCAGTGTGAGTGCAGCTGGCAATGAATCCAGTAGTTGCTAATAGGCTTGGTTTCAGATGTTCATAGCTTGACCGACTTTATCTGCTTATATACCTCAGGCTGAAACCTTTTCTCCTTTTAAATTTCAGCTAAAACAGCTTTAAAGAATGAGGCAATAATCCTAAAGCATCGAACAAGTGTTATCTATTGTGGTAGCTGCTGACTATGCATGTAGCAAAACACAGTCATTACCCTGTATATTTAGTTTAAGTTGTGACTGAGCTAGGAAGTACTGTTGCATTAACTGAAAGTTAATTGTTATCACTGAGGGACCCACTGATTTGCTTGCACCTTGGAAAAAGTAACTGAGCAATGTGGTCATTCCATTAAAAAAATTAAGACTGTACGTAACAAACTCTAGTGTTAAAATATTTTTGCAGCAGGATTCTCATATCCAGAAACAGCAGAGCAGCCCTACTGAGTGCTTGGAAAGGATCCCACCTTTTGACAGACATAAGAGCTATACTTGCACTGAAATCCTAAACCCTCCTGTCAGTAGCCCATGAGTACAAGACTATGCTCAAGTTTTTATTTCAGCTGAACTTTTGGGAGCAGTGGAGGATTAAACTTGGTTGTGTTCCTGATTTAACAGTGGGCCTACCTTCAGTGGAATGGTCCAGGCATAGTGGGCTGGTTTCATTATCTCCATCACCTTTGTCTTTGGAGCAGTATCACATGGCTTTGTGGTTGGTTGTAAAAGGACACAGTTTTGTCAGCCTTAAGGGTAGGTAGGATTTAGAGGTAGGTGGAAACATACTGGCTACATCTGTACCAGAAAATAAAGCAGATTAGGACTCGTTCTTTAGGTGTCAGGGCAAGTGGCATGACATAGCATGGCATAGCTTGCATGCACACAGCTGAATTCTTTCCCTTTTCTATACTGCCTACTGAATTTATACAGATTGCAAACTGTTACTGAACTGACTTGTACAAGGACATTGCCTGGGACAGTACTAGTCAGGGGCCCAAGCATTCCCAAAAACATGCCAGCAGTCAGAAGTATGGATTGTCATGTGACAGCACTCAGATTCTGCCTTTGTCTCATCTAAATCACTAACACAGTCACAGAGTCAGATGAGGGAGGAAATTTGGCTTGAGCCTGCAGCCAAAGTAGACATGTGAAAGTACAGAAACAATGATGGGCTATAGACCCACAGGGAGTACAGAATGGTCTGTAAGTGATTCCTTTATGATAAGGAGAAGTAAAACCACCCTTGCTATGTAAACTGTGCTTTTAGAAGTGCGGCTCTGAGTGCAAGTTAACTGACTGAAAATGTTATTTTCATTTTAAATACTTAATTATGTGTGTGCTATGACACTGGACAAAAAAAATATGATGTGCATTCAATAAATTACCTCTCCAGTGTTCAAATGAAAAATATTTGATGTAGAAATGATTAAAAGCTATGAGGTAATGCCACTCTCCCTCCGTAGTGTAAATGTAATTTTTTTAAGTAGCATTTTCATGTTCATATGTACAATAAGAGCATCCTGACAGGTCAATCAACCAACAGTTTAATGTTTGGGCTGAGCGTGCGCTGCAAGTTTGGGAACATGGAGTAACAGAATTCTAAAGATAGATGTCCCTTCTCTACCCCACAACACAACTGTTCAAAAATATGTGTATTTACTTGCCATTCCTAATTGTGAAGAGAGGGAGGAAAAAATGTTGTGGGAAATACCCACATAGAAAGATATTATTGAGCTTCATTTAAGAAAAAGTGTCACAACATTTCCTTTTTGGTTCTAAAAGACGTGGTGTGCCAAGCTGGTTTGAGGGCTGAGGTGAAATTGAAATGCTCAGTGTACAGACTTCTGAGAGGAAATGAGAGAGAGAAAGAAAGAAGAAAATGAGTGCCGTAGCTGCATACTTCCAGGGTGTCCCTTTTACAGTTTTGAAGTACTTGATTTACTTTCTTTGTGAAGGGGAGCTGCATATGAAAAACATAGTTTCTATGGAGCTAAAGTTGGATGCGTCTGGCAGTTTCTTATGGTCATTGAATTGTTACAGAAATAGGTGTTATTTTCAAAGTACAAGTGTTGAAAAGCCAGATGATACAAAATGTTCCCCTTAATCACTACATGGAGAACATTTGCATGGCAAGGGAAAAAGAGGATCAAATTTTGGAAACCACAAAATTAATTTAGGGAAAGACTCCCTGTGAAGACAGTCATGACACGAGAAACAGCTTTTGTGTGAGATTTCAGTACAGTATTAGATCTAGTTTACATATATTCTCTGTGATTTTTTAAAAATCTGCAGTTGCACATTTTGTGCTTGATAACTGTCAGAAAAGTAGATTGGGTAGGTAATTTGCTGTTTAAAGCATTTTTGTATGAAACAGCTTTGGCCAACAGTTTTATCTCTCTAAAACCACTTAATGTGTTACCATGAAAGGAGAAGTTATGCTAAACATCCAAGCCTAATAATTCTTTTAAAGGAAGTGGTACAACTCTGTCAGGAAATGGATCGTTTCTTGAAAGAGTGCATATAAGTGAAGATGTGTTACTGATTCTAGGGTTACATCTTTGGTTAAACTTAAGTCCTATTTCTGTTAGTATTAATTTCTTCACTGAAAATTAATTTATTTTTTTCTTCAGTTAAAGTACAGTTAGAACTACTGTTCCAGGCAACACTTTCAAAGGTTTAATTGTTAAAAATCTACATGGCTATAAAAGAGAAAGAATAAAAATATTTATGCTACTTGATTTCTGATGAGGAAAAGGAAAATGAATGAACACTGTCCAGAGGGGAAAGGAAGCAGCACTATCTATTAAAACAGAAATAGGGCTTTATTTCAATTTCTGATCTGCTTAAGCTAGGCAGAGGTGGAATTTCTAGTTAATACAAAGAATTTACTTTGGATCCTAATCCTCATTCACTCACAATAATTTGAAATTATTTTCAAATTTGTTGGAAGGAACACAGAGGGCCGTTCTACATAATGGTATCATTAAACCTCTGAGTAATACTGACTGCAGTGTAATTAAACTCAATCCATTGCAGAAGACTCACATATGAATTCTCACTATCTTGAAAACTGACTGTGAACTGGAGACTTAGGACTTTAGAAAGGAGAAGCTAATCAAGATGTTCTGAAAGATAGAGATGAGGAAATTAAAAGTTTGAACTCGGCATGGAGACCGTGAGTACATCCTGATAGTTGCAGAAACCATGCATCTGCTTTACACCCCCAAAGAAGGAAGCAAGAACATGAGAAAAAGAGTGATTAAATGGCAGAGCTTAAGGGTATGCATTGTAGTTCTTAAAGAGAGCCTACCGAAAAGGAGGTAAGTGAAAAGAAGTGCCACATAAAATGAAGGGGGAAAGGCAGTTTTGGAAAAGCATAAATGAAATCTACTAAGTTAATTTCCACAGCTTCTTTTCTACTGATATATTTAAAGATACTGTATCTGTTAAATTACCATAGAGCAACAAAGAGATTTAATTAAGTGAATAATATTGCAGTTATTCTTTTTTTCCTTTTCCCTTGTTAAAAGTTGTATGGTTATTGATTTTGAACCTACTCTTTTAAATTGAAAAAGATAAGATGCTCCCATGAATTGAAATAAGAGAAAATTCTGAAACAGATGGATAAATTAGGAGAAAGATATTCCAGACCTAGATAGTATATCTTCTAGAGTTTGGAAGGAACTTGGAGCTCCTCAGAATAAATACAAAAACTCCATTAGTTTTAAGTACTATATTAGGTGACTAGAAGGCACCTCTTAACATAGTGTAATGTAGTATTATATGATATAATACAATATGATTTAATATAAGCAGCATTACAACTTAAAACTTCTTTAAAAGGACCAGGAAAAATGTTTTGACAAAAGATTTGAAAGATTACCCTCAGTTTTCAAGAATGAAATAAAAAAGGATTATAAGAACAGAAGATAAACATGATACCAAGAAGACACACCAGATATAAAATACTGCTGTGAAGAATCAGGTGGTAAAATCAGTATCCATAATAATAAATAAGAGATTTTCAATACATCTAAAACAATGCAGATTTTTAACTGAAGTTGCATAATTGACACTGGTACTGTAAACTGCATGTCTTGGGACTAGAGCTAATCAGTAACTGGTACTCAGCAATTCTATCATTTCATTGCTGTTTTTCTTAAATTTTTCGTCCCATACTGATTTATTGAGATATAAGATACAAACTAGAGCATGTCTAGCTCAGCATCCCATCTCCAGCACTGGCCAATAGGAGCTGCGCAGTGTCACTGTGGTAAGAAACGTCTGAGCTTTAACTATGCAGTCTATGAGCAAAGACCTCCATTTGTTTGCTTTGACTTTGCCATTTGCTCATTTGCTAGTTTGACTTTAGTTTAAAAAGAGAGTGAATAATTGTTATCTTTTATCTCCTCCATGCTTTTGTTGGATCTGCCCCCATTTCATAGGCAAACCCAGAATGTGAAACGCTTGTCCCCCTGCCTCAAAATGTCCAGTAAAATTTTTGTTGTAGATACAGGCACTGGTAGTTCTGAGCTTTCAGTAATCCATGCACAGCCTCATTTCTTTCATTTTCCTTAGGTAAAGGGCTTATAGGGGAAACCTAGTTTATTTAGATGTTAGAACCCTCAATTCAATACACCTCTTTTATAAACTGTCTGCTGTGACAATCTTTCAAGAGGCTATCAAAACCCCAGTTGGTCAGAAGGCATTTTACACTCCTTTTGTAAATTCCTCAGGATTTGCATTTTCTCTGAAGTGTTAGACTTCCATGCAAAGAAATGTCCCATGAAGCAATTTTCCTTTGGCTGGCATTTATTAAGTCTGGCTAAGAGTGAGGTTTGGCATCCTCCTCCTTACTACATGTCACATTCAAAGTTACTTTTCTGTTGTGCCTGCTTGTTAACATATTGATGGGGAACATTACAGCAGTTCAGATTATTGACATTGTAAATAACTGCATTAACTCTGAGCAACTTCAATCCCCTCACCCCAACAGCATTTTCTGGGATTTAATAGAGATTTACACAAATACCACATCTCTCTCCAGCTTCAAAAGAACACATTCCTATTGAACCAGACTTTATTACACCAAATCCACCATGTCATTACAGAAACTGTAGTGATTTGCTTCCCATTGGACTCAGTGTTGCCTGCCTATGACTAATGAGGTGCATCTTCAAAATGGAAAGTCAAATGAGGCAAACTCCACAGATTCTTGGAATTACTTGTAATATGCAGAGAAGTTAGGGTATGACTTCAACTTAATCACTCGTTCTCTGAGTAACATACCTGCAACATGGCCTTACAATATCTTCCAACCAAAGCATTTGGTTTTGGGTGGTAGCAAGTTGTTGTGAGATGTTTTCTATTACTTTCCTAAGTCTTTAGATAATAAATTGGCTAACTGTTCCACTGTGTGACAATATTCTTCTTTAGAAAGCCATGTGATTGAGGACAGTGGACAAGTGTGAGGTACTGGTTTGGTTTATACAGAAGACAAAATAATTGATTTTGGATAGCAAGTGCCAAAGCAACAGAATTATAAATTGTTTGGGTTTGGGCAGGAACCCACTGCAGTCCTGGAGTGCTATCCTTTGATGGATACATAGGGAGGAGATGAAGGGGATTTCTGAAAAAAAATAGTCTCTCCTGGCCAGATCAGGACCATGTTTTCTGTAGCCCTTTATGTACACTTTCTGACTTAAAATATCCTGTGAAAGTAATCACACACACGCACACACACACACCCCCACCCCCTCTGCGACAGAGTAGCAGCAACATTAATTTGTCTTCAGTTACAGAGTCAAGGATGTTGCTGTCATAGTTGCAGGTGGTGCTGCGCTTCTGCATATCATCACTTGTCTGTTAATGCCTTTACTTCTCTGGGTTGAAGCTTCACACTTGAAGATTCTTACATAGTTGAAGCTTTGGGCTACAATTCAACCTATTTTGGCTCTATTGATTTGATTGTTCTGTTTGGTTTTGGAAACTTTATTCCTGTAGAGATTCTTAAAAGTGACAAATACAGAAATCACAGTCTTATTAAAAAAGAGCCTTGTCTAGAATAACTATAAACCCAAAACATTTAAAGAAAGTCTGCCTATCCATCTTACTAATAATTTACTATCCCCTGTTCATAGAATGTTCATTGCTAATCTTCAGCTATTTTCTTCAGAGAGGCTTTATCTCTCCTGGTTATTTGCTTGTCTTGCATCTATCTATTGAGACCACATATTCATGCAGTAAATATCCGGGCAATACAGTTACCTATAATATTCATAAGCTATTTCAAAGAAGCCACAAATGGATTCTGATTTATTATAAAAAGATCTAATGAATTAATTCTAAATGTTATTTTATAGGTGGTATTAAGGTTATTTTCAGCAGAAGCTTCAATCTATAATTGAAAACATATGCTTACGGTTTTAGTCACAGGACAAGTGTTCGGTGCAGGTAAGAGACTACACCACATTGCAGTAATGCTGAAGTGCCCTTGCTATCGATTGGCACTCCTTTGTGCTGAGCAATATACAGACCCAGAACAAAAAGGTGCCCCCCCAAAATTTCTCATTAATGTGCCATGATAAAAGTCCTTAGAGCACAACTGAAAACTGGAAAAAATTTGACTTTTTCATTGAAGCTGGTAATTACTATAAGGGTCAGAAATTGGTTGTCCATCAAAAATACGTGTCTATCAGAAACAAAATGGGCCACCTACAAGCACGGTATCCTCTCTATTCCTGTTTATTTTTAAGAAAGACATTTGAGATGTGTGACTTCTGCAGAGCTCACAAACCAAAGATCACTGAAGTTAGATCTATTTCTGTTAATATTCTTAGCTATTTTTAATATACACAGATTATATCCTAAACAATGCCTGCTTAATACACTTTGTTTTGCATATTTTCTTTCATATACTTAGTAACCATGGAAAAGTCACATACAGATCATTCTATTCTTTGAACTATAAGAGACTCATTTTGGACTGTCTTTTATTCTGTTAAGTTTATGCAATCTTAAAATAACTCTTTAGTTGAGAACAGTTTGCTTTATGTGATCAACTATGGAATGACTGCATATATATTATACATATATGCACACACTTTTTTTTTTCCCTGGAGTTTGAAACCAAGTACTGATTGCAATAATTTCCTTCTTCAAAAGGAGTGGAAAATATTGTGTAATATTTTCCAAATTGAAGCTACTCAGAAGTCTTAGGTTTTTAAACTTTCCAGTAAATTGGGGAAAAAAAAAAAAGAGCATGCTTATTGTTTGATCAGAAGGCCACAGCACAGATTTGCTAATTTTGATATATGGTTTCATATTCTTTTATATGCCTTCTCGTAAACTATATTTTTGATGTCAAGCAAGGTCTCACTTCTTTCCAGTCTTGTATTTTCATGCTCCAGTGAGCTTGCATTATTTCTGATAATTCTCCCATGGACACAGTGATTGTATATCCCATATATCTGCAGTCTGAAATGCTTAAAAGATTCAAAATTAGCCTTGTATACCAAACTTTCTCTGTCAAGGTTGGTTAATTTGCAAAGACAAGTATTATGAGAATAAATGAGAGTTTTCCATTGGGGAAATATCTCAGTAGAGAATGGAGTTTGTTACCATCATCTTTTCAAATGTTTCAGCAGTAGTAATGGGGGTTTTTTAACAGCAGTCTTCTATTGCTCCATCAGTCTGACCAGAAATCATAGTGAGTTCTAGTAACCAATGCCTGTCCATCTTCCTTTCAGCTGATTAAAGTCCTCTCTCTTCTTTCTGTAGTGAGCAACACCTTCAGTCTATATTCAAATGATAATGTTTTTCCATCTTTGCATAGTATTAAAAATACTCCCTGATAGGTATGATATAGCAATATATCATACAATATAACCTGTTCTATATGATTTTTCTTTGTTTTTATTTACAAGTAGCTGAGCAATTGTCCATTTTGTACATTTATCTTTTTCTGTCCAGAAATGCTGATCCTAAATATTGATTTTCAAAATTCTAGGTGGTCCTAAAAGTATGTCTTAGTACTAATTATATTAAAAGATAAACTAGCTAAATAGGCCTAGGTTTGAAACAAACTCACTACTCCTTTCCTTCACAATCAAAACCCCACATATTTGACTAATCTTTTGGAGACAAAACTGTTGAGGAAGAGTTATTAGCTGTCCTTTTCTATCTGCCAATCCACAGAGGTGTGGCACTCAGATCACAGCTAATCCATGCAGGAGATTATGACCTTCACAGGAACAAAAGCACAGACACCAATGTGGTGGTTGTTTCTTGTTCAATTTATTAACTGCGCAATTTCTTTATA